CTCAGGGTCTCTGAGCGGACAACAGGTCAAATAGCAGTCACAGTGGGGGAGAGGTATGCAGCAAACAGAAAATAATGAGGAAAACATTGACTTTGCTTTTCAGATAGTAAGGAAGAGTTGGCTAAAAGAGTTTCTTCTCTTGTGAGTGTTGATCCAGTGAGCTACTTGCAAATTTGGATGGATATGTTTGAAGACTTTTTTTTTTTTTTTAAAGAAAGGCTCCTCTGGAATGCCTGCTGAGGTCTACTGTCCCTTTTCACATAAGGTTAGTATTGGGTAATCTTGAAGTGCTGCAAATGTGGACAAGCTTTGTTGAAGCCTAAGGCCTTCTCAAAGGAATTTCCGCCCTGTGACTTATTTTAATTTTGGTTTTCCCTGCTCTCTCCACTGCCTCCTGCTTTCCACTGCACAAGTTTTTTTTCCTTCTGTTTTCCTGTGTCATTACTGCACTTCTCAGTGCCACCATCTTGAAGCCAGATGTCACACAAAGAGTCCGGAGTAAATCTAAATCAGGGTATATATTTATTATCCTGCTGGAGGAATCTAGGTGAAGCTGTAGGAGCAGGTCACAGACGTTTCACATGGAATTAGCTAAGCTATTCCAGTTTTCACTTGCTCCAATCTATGAAGAAGTAGAAGACCCCTTACTTTAGTTTGCATACAGGAGATTACTGCTGGTTTAAAATTGGAATGATAGAGCAGTGTTAGCTGTTTGGGGACATACGTTCTCCTGACACAAAAAGACCCTGTTTAAATGGGAGGAGTTTTCAGTTCCAGGTGTTTTCAGAGGCTGGTGTTTGTACAAAGTAATTTTCAGAATTAGCAAGGCAGGGCAGGGAGAGGAGGAGTCTTTTGTAAGTAAATCTGATTCCTCGTGTTTCGTATTTGATTTTGTATTTTGTTTTTGATGAGGAAAAAAAAATCCTGTTCCCTCACGTACCCTTGGTGAACTTTAAAAAGGTCCTTCCAGCCGTATCCCTGCTGATGGCATGTTTTTAGCGGGATGAAAGAAAAAAGGAGTGAGCCCTGAAAGTGGGAACTACACCTACCCACTCATCCATTGTTCTGTTGAGGTTAACAAGTGACAGAGTCCATCCCTCACAGTTCTTCTAGAACTTCACAGAAAGTGCCTGGGCAAGTGATTCTGGTGTTTGCAAAGAGAAACTTGTTGTACTTTTATGTAATGTGTTAATTAGTGTGGGTGGATATGATCAGATCTAGTCTTGCAAGCCTTTCAGACAACTCCCTGAACACTCCCACCTTCAGATAATAACAGATATCACTGCACTTGCCAAATCTCATAAAAAACTGGTAACGGACTTAAGCAGGCAGAGCATAAATTGCTGCATTTATTTCAAAGGGAACACATTTGCTTGTGGCAGACACGAATTTGGCCTAGTGTTTTCCTCTAGCTGAAATGCAACTGTTGAGAAAAGAATACAGGGTGGCCTTGGATCATCTATTTTGTTTTTATTTCTTCATGTGGCTTTAATAAACTTAATCTGGGCGACAGCCACTTTTTTGACAGCACTTCTTCATAAGTTTGGGGGTAATTATGTCAAACATAATCTTTTGCATTTTTCACCAACCAACCAACAGCCCTGAGAGTCAGAATATTCTGCACTGTCTTTGTAGCTCTCACCTCCCTGGTGCTAAGACCCTTCAACCCGGTATTGCTTCTCAGCCTGCTGGAGTTTGGAGACCAAGCAAAACCTGTCCGTCACAAGCAGCAGTTACATTCTCTGGTGGACAGAATCCTCTTTGTTAGAGTGTTTTCTGAAGGAAAATTTGAGGTATGAATAGTGGCAGGCACCTCTCACAGATTTCAACAACTAATTTAGAGAAAGACATCATGAAAACCACTATTTCACCTTTTCCCTGCTACTCGTTCTCTTCTATCCAGTGTTTCCTACAGGAAGCTGGCAACTTGGTCACTTTTCTGACTGATAAACTGCCCCTCTTCCCACCCTCTATTCTGCTAAGATGAACTCAGTACCTTTCTTCAATGCCTTCAGGGATTTGACAGCTTCAACAGAAACAACCTATTCTGTATTCTTGCGGAGAGTCAGATCAGCAAGGTGATGTGTTAGAGAGAAGATCAGACTCTGTTTTGGTGGGGCTGAGGTACCCCAGCCTGTAGACTACATATGGAAGACACAGGACACAACTCGTGTGTTGTCAATACCATGGAAGGTAGTGAGTTCCCCCTGCTCCTTTTCTTGAAATGTAACACCCTCTTTTGTTTCTGTAACAGATCCCTCAAGCTGATGCTTTAGCTTGCATGGGCTGGATACAGCTGAAAAGCATAGACCTCTGAGGAGACAATTTATATCTTCACACCTTCCCAAAGAGTCCAAACTTACTCATTCCTTATACTCACCTTTGCTGTGGGCCTCATGACATATTAACGCAGAAAATAAAATCAAGGCAAATGTATATGCTGATTTTTCTGCATAAATGTAGAAAAGTACGGTTCCTCCTTCAATGAGGGAAGAAAGCACTCTAATTTGAGCTTGAGAGTGACCCAAGAGTAGTATATGAGAAAACAAAATAGAGGATAGATGCAATCTTAGGGGGAGTGTGGTGGCCCTAAACAGACAGAGGCGAGATGCCACCTTATGTTTCTGAAGTTATATAATAATAGAGGCATGTGATGTCCATCCAACTACAAAGCCTATAAAAGTGTGCCGTTACTCCTGCTCATTCCTATGGGTCACCATGCCCTAAAAAGCAGTCTATTAACTTCGCAGCTTGCTGGCTCAGAACACCTCAATACACCAGTCACTGCTTGCTGTCTCTTGTTTTTTGAGGATGGAAAAGCAACCCATATATGTAAAAACAAGGAAGGGTCAGTTTGACTCGCCACTCACTTTTTCCTAGCCAGCTGCAAAGGTCATCCATCATGCCTAGGTACTGCACAGACATGTGGTTCTCTGGCTTGTGTTAGTAATCATCCTGACCTAGCACTACTAGGTAGATGTGGTGCAGTTTCCTGGTTTTTTCTTGTGCAAAAGCATTTTTTTTAATTTGAATTTTATCTATCTGAAAGAAGTGCCTCTGTATTGTACAGGCTTTTCACAGACAGACATCCTAGGCATGAAATTTCTCTATGTTAATCAAACAATAACGAAAAGAATACAAAGGTGAAAAGTTGCTGTTTGACATCTTCCCCAAGCATCTTCTTCCCCAAGCAACATGGAGTTAATGTAGAGGAACACTGTTGGAATATCAATGCCTTAAATCTAAACATCTCAGAAGCCTGCTGGCTTCGGTATGAAAATGACCCTGCCTTCCAAAATTGACTTCTTTCCTACACGTCTTCTGAGGCAGTTTGCCACTGAGATTGGCTACCTGAGCAAATCACTGTTACGGTGCACTAGTACAGAGGAAAGCTGAGGCACATATAATCACTGAACAAACTGGTTTAAAAGTTCAGGTCCTGCAAGACACATTGGAAAAAAATAGATTAAAGAGTGAGATTACACGTGATAGCCAGTACAAAACCAAGTACTGCAGTGAGGTCTGTAGTTGCCCTTGAGATGCCTGAGAGTAGCCTACGTGAATCCCGAAAGTCCTGCCTTAGCCTTGACTCCTGAGTGGTTCCTTCCCTTGAACCACCATGTGCAAACGTTGGGCATTGTGAATACATTAACTGAAACGCTTCTTCATCTTCCTTTTTTAGCATCAGGCACTTTGGAGCGTAGCCACCAGCTGCTGCTTCTGCTTTGGGCATTGTTATTGATCTGATGAGTGTTCCCAGATACTGCTCTGGCACATCACAGTATTAGCATGAGCAGTAAGAAAACAAGGCCATTCATTGTTATCTTTTCTAGGAAAATCAAGTATTAGTGCCTTTATGCAGAGAGGGGACTGAAATAAATGCAGGGGTGATACGGTTTCTGGAATATTTTGGCTATATGAAAAATGCTGTCATATGGAATCAGGGTTTATAATAATAAGGGCTCATCTCAGAAGAATGTTGACAGAAGATGGAAATGGTCATAATGGAAAACAAGTGATACCCGAACACACAGTTCCTCTTCCTGGAGCCTGCTGGGAATGCTGATTTCATGCAGACATGCTATAGCAAAGTCAGTTCACTTGCGTGGTCATTATACCCCCTGCAGCTCTGCCTATTACAAGTAATAGCAGAGGTGACAAGCTCCTTGTCTCTGCTCTCTCAACTGTTGAATGTAGCAAAATAAGACCTTTTTTAAAAAAAAAAAAAATCCATCTGAGAACAAAGCAATTCTTTGGTTCAGTGTCAGCCTTAGATAATGGAGAAGACTCTCTCAGGTACCAGAAAGCGAAGCCGCAGCATCTCCTAGCTGATGCCTTGAGGTCTCAGGCCACATTTCCTCTTGTTAATAATAAATAAAGTGGGAAGAATATGATTGACTCAAATCAGCAATAGGATTACACAGAATCACAAATCAGTTTGTGAGCTATTGCTTGGCTTGCTTTTCCCCAGCAATAAAATGCCTTGTGGTCTCTTCTGGACTCCCATCAGAGCTGCAAATTCATGGAGAATACTTGCAGAGCTGGGCAATATTTTGTTACTGTTCTAAGGGCTATGTGAAAGACAGGAGGAAGAGTGAGAGAGACACCAGCAGCAATATTGTGGGGGCTGTGGGGGCTGAGTAGTCTGTAACTTCCAATATTCTAATATTCCTGTATATTCGGTATTAGCAATCTGACATGTTTCTCAACTGTCTGCTATTGCAAAAAAACCCTTCTTCATTCACATCAACTATTATAACGCTTTAGAACCCTAGAACACATTCGACTTCCCTGTTGC